ATGGAGATTCCTGTCTTTGAACCACTGATCCTGCACAGAAGCCCATCAGAAATCGAAGAGCGCGTAGAACGTTTTGAATTATGTTGCACCATCCGGAAAGGAAGAATGCAAAATCAGTCGGTCCTATTTTTGACGTTGGGCGACCGAGAGCTGTATTCCCTGATGAAGAATCTAGTGTTCCCGAATGTTCCTGCTGAATTGCCGTCCGAGAATTTGAAACCCCCGTTACTGGACCACATTCTCCTAGTGAATGTTTAGGCCAGTAAACGGGCCAAATTCAACTCGATGATCAGAGCTGTTAACATGCCGTGCCGTGAGTTCATTCTCCAGTTGAACAAACAGGCGTCAGAATGCAACTATGGTGACCGAGTGGAAGAAGAAATTCGCAACCGTCTCATTGCTGGAATCAACGACATCTCAAAACAACGTAAGATGTTGCTGAGGCTCGAAAAATCTGTGAGCAAAGTGACGATTTGTGTGCTGCCACAAATGCGGATACTCCTGTTTTATTCCATCGGCGATCAAAGAAACCCTTACGTGACGCACCCAATGTTCATAATTCACCCCAGGTTCCTCAAGTACCCAGTTCAAGCTGAACACAACCGAAGGCTGCCACCAACCGTTGCTTTTCATTTGGTGAATACCATCTTCGTTCGACTTGTCGATTCCGTAATCCCACTTTCTATGCATGCGGTGAGATGGGCGATATCCGCAACGCATGCCGAATGCTCAAGTGCAACCTCATCGACTCCAATATCCCAACGGCAGATGAGAACTCAAGCCCAACCTACACTCTGCAGACCACTGAACCCAACGGTCAGTTCGTGTTCACCTCACTGAGTTTCGAGTCTGGTGTGGAGCATCGATTCATCATGGACACAGGAAGCAGCGAATCAATCCTACCGAAATCAGCACTCAATGCGATCTGTCCTGGTGCTGTTCTAGCCCCGACTTCTGTGCGCATTCATGGGGTTACTGGCCGTCAGTTGCAATTACTAAGTGAAACGATATTGTGCGTTCAATCTGAATCCGGCTTATCAATCCCAATCCGATTCCTGATATCAGCCCACAGTCCGTCTATTCTGGGCCTTCGAGCAATGTGGCTACTACAAGGATCCATCACACTACACACCAACAACGATATGCCAATCACCTCACATCGTCAACATTTGATTGTAAAGCGTTCCGGTAACGTTGGTGGCATGAAAGTACCGTCGGTGAAGTTGGAAGTGGACGGTGAACCTATTTTTTTAAAACGACGCGTCCTCCCATACGGTCAACGGGAAGGTGTCCTCAAAGCATTACAGAACATGGAGCAGGATGGTGTGGTAAGCAAAGTTGAATCCAGTGCCTGGGCTACCCCGATCGTCGTGGCGATGAAAAGTGATGGTAGGACACGACGGATCTGTGGAGACTATCGACTAACGTTGAATCCCAGATTGCGGAGATGTGCAGCAACCACCATGGAGCCACAGGATCTCATGAAGTCATTGCATGGGTGCCAGTATTTTTCGAAAATCCATTTGGCGGACGCATACCTACAGATTCCACTCGATTTCGAATCTCGCTAATTGACAACAATCAACACGCCGTGGGGAATATACCAAAATTACTTTCTCCCATTCGGATTGCATGTGTCGTCTGGCCTCTTTCAATCGACAATAGACAGTGTAATCAAAGGACTCGACGGTGTGCTTGCATATCAAGATGACGTCCTCATTTTCGGCCTTAATAATAAAAACCACGATGCCCGTCTTACGCAGCTACTGGAACGATTTGCCGCCAGAAACGTGGCTATCAGGCCGTCTAAATGTGTGTTTGGAGTGAGTGAGGTGGAGTTTCTAGGATTCACAGTTGATTCCCGTGGATATCATCCCGATCCGACTCGTTTCAAACCATTGACTAACATCGAATCTCCAAAGGATCAAACGCATCTGAGATCCGTGATGGGATGTCTACAGTACTATGCCCGCTTTATCCCGAACTTTGCTACAAGGGCGCCGCCACTTTTCCGTGCTCAGTGTTCAGACGCTTGGGAATGGTCGGTGGAGCGTGAAGATATCTTACGTGGTTTACTTCGATGCGTTACTGATCGTCCTGTTCTCGCCCTGGTTTCACCTTCGAAACCGACTACACTCATCCCCGATGCGTCTGACATTGGAATCGGTGCTGTATTAGAACACGAAGGATGCCCAGTGATCTTCATTTCACGTCTACTCGATGCGGCAGAAGAGGATACTCACAAACTCAAAAAGAAGCGTTTCTGTATTTTGGGCTGTTCGACGATTGCACAAGTACCTTTTCGGATTGCGGTTTACTATGATCACTGATCACCAAGCGCTACAGTTCTTGTTCAACCCCAACAAATCCATCGTGAAGTCCACTGCTGCTATGCTACAGAGGTGGAGTATCGCTCTAGCCGCATATAACTATGACATCCAACATCGTCCAGGAAAGACAATCCCGCAGGATGATTCCCTCTCTCGCTACTCACGATTTTCTGAGGCCGAACAGTGTCATTTCAGCTCCCCAGCATCACCAGTGTCTCGGGAATCTTTACGCAAATCTACCAAACAGTACTACTCAGCCATACTCTCAGTGATCAAGAAAGGGTGGTCACCAGAGGTAAATATAAAGTATCCTCAAATATTTACTCATCGAGAGGAGTTGTCAGTACAATTGGATGGTGTATTATGTCGCGCCGATCGATTGGTAATCCCATCGCCACTACGGACGACGGTACTAGAAGAATTGCATAAAGGACATATGGGGGTGGAGAAGATGAAATCATTGACTCGACAGATGTGTTGGTGGCCGGAGTTGGACACAGACATTTACGCCACAGCCAGAACTGTGAGTCATGTTTACATAAATTACGAACAAGACCGAAAAACTGGACACCATGGCCGGAAAGTTATATACCATGGCAGAGGGTTCATTTGGATTTCTGTGGTCCATTTCTAAACCGGTACTATGCCCTTGTTCTGATCGATTCATACTCTAAATGGCCAGAGGTGTTCTTTACAACTACGCCTACCACGTCATTTGTGATAAAAGTTCTACGAAAATGTTTTAATCGCGAAGGGATTCCACAAGTGCTTGTGACGGACAATGGACCTCAGTTCTGTGCGACCGAAATGAAGCTTTGGATGGACAGCATCGGTTGCCGACATCTTTGAACTGCACCTCGTCACCCCTGTTCGAACGAAGCGGCAGAGAATCTATTCAAAACTGTATTTGCGGCTGCCAATCCTAAAACGCTACAAGAGTTGGAAACGTTGGTGGATAACTTCTTACTCCAATACCGAAACGCAACACATACAACCACCAGAAAGAGCCCGGCAATGCTTTTT